GAATCCTTCACCCATCTGGTTTCTTTTTAGCTACAATATTACAGAAATCAAACCAAAAATCTTTTCCAAAAAGGAAGGTTAAGTGCACCTGTTTGAAATGAAAGTGGTTTAAGTGGAAAACCAGTACCTAAATTTTATAACAAGGTGAAAACATAGCACAGAAACACAAACAGGATGACATGAACAGCTACACAAACGGACAACCGGCACACTGTACTCTGACAAGTTAGATACTGAGTTCGTCCACCAGAGGAAACAGATGGGCAGGTAAGAAAAAACTTCTTTCTCTCTGTTGGACTGAGTAGTTCATATTCCCTAATTGGAGCAGATTTCATTAGCACTCTCACAATAAACACATTCCTATTTTGAGGTAATGGAGGAGTGCATGAGCTTTCAGCAAAGCCATGAGCTGTTACACATGCCTCTCTTTTCAGTATTAGTATGGAAGATTATGAGAGCATTGAGGGGCAATTTTAAGGAAAAAACACTTCTCCCAGATCAAGAGACAGGTGATTCACACTGAAGATGTAGGCTCCCAGGCAGAAAGTCAGATTAGGGTTCTCATGTTCCAGATCTATTTATGTAATAAATTCCTGTCCTCTACTTTGGCCCTTCAAAACTTCTCTGCAAGCCCACATTTACCTAATGCTCTTGACTCCTCTTGCTGGCATTTTGATAGCTGCACCAGAAGATGACCAGAGGAAAAAGCAGAGCCGCTGTCATCTGGGACGGTGTTAGCAACTCAGCACTAGAACAGGAGACACAACTTAGCCACACTATCTTTAACAGTTCATATTCAGCCACAACGAAGTTTTTTAAAGCTTACGCACATCAGATAAAAAGCAGCACTGCTCTGAACAATGAATCAAGCATAACCTCTCTCTTTATAATCTTAAGGGATACTTAATGTTTGCAAGGGTTTAAAGGAAATGTCTGGGAAGGGATTCAAGAGAACACAATGGATAGTGCTCTGGTTTCTGGCAGTCCTGTTCTCTACAGGACAGGTAACAAGGTTACTTGCACTCCTCTCTGGCTACAATGAGAGAACACCAATCTGGGACTTCACTCCTCAACATTCTTCTACCAGTCATCTTTTCTCTTCAGAGATTAATAATCTCTTTAAACAGAAGTCTAAACTAAACTACACTGAAGGTAAGGTGAGCTAGCAAAAATTCTGAAAGATTTGTCAGATATCCAGGCTCATGCTATTCATGCCATACAGAAAAGCTTAAAGTTAGAGATGTAGTTCCACTGGCCTCTTCCTTCACAGAAAATTCTGTATAAAGGCTTTAGGGATCTGACGACTGCAAAAAGACCAACACGTAGCTTTTCTAGGATGTAAATGAGTCCAGAATTTGCCCCTCCCATATCTGAAATGTTAGACCTGGAATCTGGCTTGTGTATTGGTGTGAATTAGCCCTCCATGCCTTCAGATATTAACGTGTCCATTGCTTGCTAAAGGCAGGCTATATAAAATGCTGCAACAGATTGCAGTCTGCAGTAAGTAAGACTGGTATGGCTGCATTCTGGTTACTGTTCTTTAACATGTTACTGTATTTATTTGCAAGTGAACAGGCTCTTCCTCGAGACACATACAGCATGGAATCTAGGTGAGCGAAGGGTAACTGCCAAGAGTTTTAAGAAATTCTTGTTCAAGTAAAGGCATTACAGATTGGTCTGCTACTTTAATATGTTTGTTGGTCACCAGCCAGTTTGAAAATGCAAATTTTAAACAAAAAAACCCCACAAAAGATGCAAAGTCCTTTCAGAATCTATTTGACCAATTTCAACCACTCAAAAGATCAAGAAACAAGTGTTTACTTATGAGGTTTAAAAAAACCCACATTCATCAGAGAGTGAAAATTAGTTTTATGTTTTACAGTTATAAATATAACTTGTGTCATTAGACATAAGAAATGTAATCCAAGATATTTAATTAAATACTTAATTTCCTCAAAATGTAGGTAAAGACTGGTTTTAAAAAAAGTCTACTTCCCAGACAGTCCTGAGAAGCCCTGAAAAGCATCATTAAAAGCCTTTAACGCTTTCAGCTGAGGTAAAAATCTCTTTACTATGCTTTGCATATTCAGTTTTAGTTACTCAAAATAATCTCTAACATTATCGAAGTCACTAGGTTGATCCTCTCTACAGGTTCCTAATTTTGATTAACCAGACAGAATTCATTTCAGTAAAACTTCAGAGCCCTTCAGAGACCCTCCATATTAGTCCATTTGTCTTTGCTCATGCTTTTCTGTCCAATGCCTCAGTAACAGTATGTGAGCTTCTCCTACTCTCATTTATGGACACTGTATGAAGATAACAACAAAATAGCTATGGCAATCATTCAAACTTCAGAGCACCTTAAGCACTCCCCATTCGCAGGGGGCCACTTTCTGAGTACTGTAACATGTACCTCGGTTTTTTCATGAGCGTGGGACATGCCCATTTTGAAAGTAATTTGGAAAAAAACCCACAATTATACTTCTCTTCCACTTTGCAGTAATTCTCTACAAGAAACATGAAGAACAAGAATATGCTGGTAATGACAGGGACTCCAGGAATGACTTAGATGCCACCGAAATACAGAGACATTGTACCTTGTACCAAGATGAAGTACTGGAGAACTGCAAACACACCTCTGCAACACAGGAAGATCTCTTCAAGTAAAATAAATTATCTCAAAATCTGTGGTTTCATGTCCTTTATGCTGCTGGGGTTAAACAAAGAAACAGACACTGCAAAGCTAAGCCCTGTTAAGAGCCACAGGTATTTGATAAACATCTTCTCTGTCATGTTTGCCCAAACAGATCTGCATTAGGAATTACTGAAAGAAAAATAGCACAACACAGAGATACCACAGCAGGTAAAGGCAATGAGAAATGAAGTGAAGTTTTCTTACATAGGCACATCTATGTAAGTATGAGAATGTTAACCAATTATTTCTCCAAGACTTATAAACTTAGATAGTCTCATTATTACTTGAGCATTTATTTTTCATACGAAAAAGAACACGCAAAGCATTTATTCAATAACATTTAGACATATCATTGGTAAACACTGAGGTAAAAGGAAAATATACCCTTAAAAATTATAGCACGAAATGGCTGCTATACAGTCTTAAACATTAATATCAGGCCTTAGAATTTCTGTAGTGAAAAGCAATACTAAACTTTAATGTACTCGTGTTTAATAAAATATGTTTATTGTATCTTTTCCTCTGCCTATCCAGAACAGCATGTTAGCTATGTTTGGTTTTCATTAGTTGATTCTACTGAATGTGATTACACTCAGTTCAATTCTCCATCCCCATGTAACTTAAGATTTTGTGCAATAAAATTCTTACTATTTTTAAAAAATAACTGTAAATACAGTAAGAGTTGGGTACAAGCCTTACCTGCAGCAGCTTAATCAAAGTATTTTTTCATCATTTTAAAGCAAAAGAGTTGCACTGTCTGTCAAGTTAGATGCATACCTTTTCACAGGCATGCCAGCCAATTTATATCCAAACTTATAAAAACATTTAACTTATTATCTATTTCTTTCAGCATTGTGACATGGTTCACTTAGTCCTCACCATGTGGACACCAACTGATTTGAGGTAATACATATGGCAGACATCCCACATAGATGTCTGCATTAAAAATGGCAGAAGATATTAGCACAAAATGTAAACCATCTTGAGTTTATATATCCGATCTATTCTTGAGATACTCTACTAAAAGAGAATTTGACTCTCAAGAGCATATCTGAATAATTTTAAAGTTTTAATGCCAGTCCAGAAAAATCAGCATATTTATAAAGTAGGAAGAATTACTCCCAGTCTATGATTTTTCCCTGTCATTTTTAAAAGCATGAATATGAATTCATTTAGGTCTTGAGCAAATTGTTCTGTCTTAGAAAAATCTCCAAATTAAAAAACAAGCAATAGGAGCTGAACAATGTGGATACTAAAACAAATATCAGTGATTCAGGAATCACAACCTCAAAGAGGTTGATCATTTTCATTCCTTTCGGTTTAAGCGAGAAGGGAGGTGCCCCACTTCTCTCTGGAAAGCAGCTGGCTTACTTATCTTTCATCCATTTCTAGAAACTAAACTTTTGTTCTTTCTACAGCCTAGCTGTGACCAGAGAAACAGCTGAATATTTGTGGTAAATTTACTCAAGAGTCTCAATCCTATAATCTCTTTATGCAGATCAAACTCACCAGGAGTGTGAAATCAAACTTCCCCAGCTGAATACAAATATTTCACACTACAGTGACAGCTACCATTGCTACTGTAGTTCATGCCATCTCAGTCTATAACTTTTATAAACGTTAACAATAAATGAATACTAAATTGGTACAAGTCACAATCTTATCAGTCATGTAGATTTTCTGATCAATTTTACAACTGGCACTTATTCAACAGTGCTGTATGGTTTATCTCCAAATCTGGACAAAAGACTTTCACAGAAGCTATAAATTTTTACAAAGATCTCAGGTAAGGCTTTTCAGTTGAAATATTCTTAACAGCTATTTCATTAATGTCAAGGCTATAAAAATCACAACAATTTGCAGCAAGCGGTGTTTTTATTTTAAGGCAGCATTTCTGTCACTCAGAACTACATCATCATTTCGCAGAATAGAGTCATATAATCATGCTGGAAGATTCATTTTCCCCTGTTCAAGTGGTGCAGAGGAATTTAGCAAGTCTAATACTCCTAATACTATGTTTTGCTCAACTGACAATCTATATCACAGTTTCCATGTGACTTGCTGCTCCAGTGGGAAAATACTTCAATTACCTCTGCATACATCAAGTTCACATGTGTCATCAAGTTACAGAACAAGGTAATTTTTGCAGGTATAAGTTTGAAAATATTACAAGGACCACAAAAATTCTAAGACCTGATATTAAATGTTAGTAAAGACTAGTGAAATTTGTAAGAAAAATTATGATACTTCAACATGCCTGTTGGAGAATCAAGATCATCAACTGAAATACTGTAGAATCTCCAAACTAATTTTCCTCGGAATCATCAGAACTTTCTTCATTTTCTTCATCATTGCTATTTGAGCAGCTAGTACTCTTTGTGTTGCTATCATCTGCTTTCATCACTTGTTTCTTCATCATCTTCACTCTCCCCACTAGCAATTTTCTGTGCTTCTTCTGTCATAAAAATACACAAGATCACTCATTGCTGCACTGCATTTTATATTAAAAAGAAGTTAAAAAGAAGCAAGTAGGGCAATTAGTTTCACCTATTTTCAATTAAATCATTAAATCATTAAACACTTTCTAGCAAGTGAAGAAAGCCCTGTAATGATTGTGTGGCAGACTGCAAAGTCAAAACTATGAAGTCAGCTTGTATTCTGAAATGTGCTGTGACCACTTTGCACTTGGAATTGGCTCAACATAGCTCTAAAACCAGCACAGCTGGTCACCAGAAAATCACCCATTTATGGGAGAATGCTCAGATGAATTAAGCCACTGTTTAAGCTGCTTTGTTGTTCCTGTTTCCTGTAGCTACACAGCAGCAAGAGAATGGAAGATTCCCCCTCTCTCTACCCCTTGCCCCCTTTATACCCTAATTGATACAGGACTAGAAAGTCTTGATCATGAATAAGTGGTGTAAGCTAAAGTTAATATGTGAGAGAAGAAAACATACATCTAAACCAGGCTTGGGAGTATCCAAAGATGGATTAAACTCATCTTTGTAATTCTTTCCTTCTCATTATTTCCTTCTCATATTACAGAATTCAGAGGGACTTCTTGAGGTTAACATCCTTCAGCCTAATACCCATCTCATGACAAACACGGCTTACATTTTGGCACAATTCAATTGTCTTGATCACAGGTAACATCCCAGAGCCTCATCAGATGTCTTTTTGTGAATCTATCTGGGGTAGTTTAAGAACTGATTTCCGTTACTAATTTTTACGTATTCTCTGCTGGAATTTTCCTGCCCAAGTGCTACAAGACTTTTCTTGAGCTTTCGTCTTCCATTTCAGTGCAGGGTGGACCAGATTAGTTTAAGGTCTTTATTGATGCTTTGGACTAAGCTAGTTGATATTATATTGAGACAGATGATGGGAGCTCACTTGGTCCATTCTACTTGTTCTGAGTTTAGAAGACTGTTTCTAAATTTGTAAGAAGATTTCTGACTCTTTTCTTCCTCCCTTAATATCCTGTAAAATGAATACTTGCAATTGAACACTAACAACTAGAGAATGCTTACTCTGACATTTTATAGACCAAAGTAGCCTATTTAAGGTGTAGAAAATCCAGATGTAATGTAAGTATTTTCTCAATTGCTGGCTTTTTAAACACAAAGTTCCTATTGGTACAATAATTCTCAATGTTTATCTGTGAAAGACAAGAATGCCTCTACAATAAATATTGTAGTTGTGATTCTCAAACTTACCCATCAATACCTTTTCTTCAAAAAGTGGAAAAAACTGCTTGGCCTCAGTATTTTCTGGTTCATAGATCAGAACTGCAATCTGACAACATAATAGATTACAAACATGTATATGATGACAAAATAAACAGAAAAAACCTAGAAATGAGTCTGCCACTTACGGTTCATCAAAGTGCAATTATACCAATGAAAAACTTTACATATACACATATCAGAAACGGATATTCATAACCTGAAGAATAGCAAGCTTACTGTTACAACCTGTGCTCTTGGGCAGTATCATAATTTTGAGTAAGTGTCTGCAATGCAAAAAAAAAAAAAAAAAAAAAAAGATTTCTCAGTTAATGGCATTAATAATTTCAGGTAAAACTTTAATTCTAGAATTAGGATGGAAAGAAGACAAATGACATTTAAGAGCAATAAGATCATAAAGATCTCATATAAAGATTGTAAATTGATATAATCATTATATCGTAAATAAGAATAACACAGAAAATTCAGACACCAGGTTAAACCTGAAAAAAACCCAAAAATAGTAAAACATGAAAAAGCTTTAATACTATTTTGCATACACACGCACCATAAAGTGAGCAAAAACAATCGAATTCAAAAATTTTACATGCAAGAATAATTTTGAGGTGAAAAGTGCCCTAATTAAAGTTAGACAGTGGCTGTGCAATTGTAATTTTTCACAAGATAGTACAAAATTCACTGTTCTTGTTACAGCAAAGTGCCCAGTGTTTGGGGTTTTGCCATCCTGCCTCCCCTCATCAATCTTCCTTCCCTATTGCATTTTCTGCAAAAAAACAATTAAATGAGTTGAAATGAAGGTTCCCTTCCCCATCCTAAAGAACAGTGCATGCAGGAGCTTGTGACCAGGTAATGAACAGGGAGCCAGGAGAAATCAGCTGAGGTCACTTGGAGACAACAACAACAACAGAGATGCAAGAATATAATACTAAAACCAACTACTCAGTTAACTGATGGCAAGCAGGCAGGCAAGAGAGAAACAATTGTAACCCAAACAACCATGTGTCTGAGGCCTCCAAAGCTGTGCTGCTTGGCAAACATAGCAAAATATAAAAATATATTTATCATCAGGAGTTGTTGCTGAGAATTCATGGTAATAACTGGCACAATGTACCATTTCCATCAATGAGTATTTTTCACTGTAGGCCAAAATCACATGTAAACCTAGGTCTGGGTATGAAAGGCTGGCTAAATAGGTAATTAATACTGCTGACAAATCTTGACAAGAATTAAGAAGTATTCACTGCAGAATTGGTGCCCCAGCTTACCTGAGTCCGTAATACTTAGTCATGCTGTTAATTCGTTATTTTAATAAAGGAAAACTTACGTCTCCCAACAATTCTATTGGTGCAGTAAGTTTTCCCTCTTCATTTTCACTTTGCTCATTGTTACTTTCTTCTTCATCATCTGATATTTCTCCCAGTAGCTCATCATTATTTTGATTTTCAATAGTATTTGGCTCAATTTCATCACCAAGTTCATTACTGAGTGCTTTCTTAATGTTCCTAGATTCTTTTTCATCTGAATTAAAAAAGTAGAATAATCTATTAATGACAACGATAGCAAACAATAGCACTTGCAGAGCATTTTATATGTTCAGACTAACTCCCAAACATTTATTCATTAATGGTGATCACTGATAAGGTCTTTTTGTATATAGTTTAAAATATTTTCTATTTAATGATTACATCAGAAAGGTTCCTTTTAAAAATTTACTTAAAAGAGCTTATGAACTTTAAAGATATTAATATTATACCTGAAGAAAAAAATAACAATCTTCTACTGCAAGAATGCAATGGGACTGGGATAGTATCTTCCACTAGTAAGAACTCAAAATGCTAGCTGTCTAAACCTCTCTTGTCTACACACCCATCTGATTGTAAATGCAATCCTCCCGTTGACACATAGGACAAAAAGCTGAATGAATGTGCTCATCAGTGATTAAGTTTTTGAGTTTAAAAATCACTCTTAGGCTACAAACAGAACCACATTACTGGGCTTGACTTAGTCTCAGTGATACCAATCTTACCAGCTTTGTCCCATACAATTCAGTTGCAAAGAAATTTTGTAAAAGTAGGCATAAAAGAATATAGTAGCAAGGAAAAAAAAAAGTGAAGAAAATTTAAAATTTTATATTGTATGAAAAAGTCAAAGAACTGACACAGACCAGAACGTCTTTATGGAAACATCAGTTGCAATTCCAGTGTAACAATGAGTGACACAGATTAAAGGAGAGAATTGACATCTTTACTTTAGATGAAAAAAAACCTGTATTGTTCACAAATAACTTTTTTTTTCAATCACACAATTAATTTTCAGAACATGTAAAAATATATTGACCAGTTCAGAAGATAATGCTAAGTTGAAAACAGATCACAGGAAACTAAATATGTACTTAAGACTTCCTTTGTTCCTAACATAACATTGTACTTTGTTTCAGACTTTTAGGATAGCTTGAATTCACTGCAGTCTTGTGGGAAAATTAATATTTCTTTCTTTTCTTTTTAAGAATTAAATTTGCTTGTTATTTTTCACAATAAAGAGTTTTGTCTTTAGTAGAATGCATACAGCCAAATTCCTTTCTTTGAAACTGGCTGTTCTCTAGCCTTGTTCTCAGTGGAAAGTCACAGGCTAAATTCTGCCATTTTCCCAAGGGGCTTGTTTTCAAGAAAGTTTGGCCCCTCATTCCTTGGAAACTATAGTGAAAGGGAGTGTCTGCTGTCAATTTTTAAATAAAGTAATTTCTCAAAAATTTCTCTGAATATTCTGGGGACAAATCCTTCATGCAAGACGGTGTTTCAGGAAGAAAAACAAAGCAAAGTCAAGGCAATGAGTCAGTACTATGTATTTTAGGTCTACCCAACTGGGAAGGCAGTAGGAAAAAAAGAACTAAAATATGTGATTTTGTACAAGCCTGCACATGTGTGTAGAGGTCCATACAAATAAGCGAAGGCAGTCAGGAATGAAGAAAATCAGAAGAGGGTGCATATGCTCAGAGGGGAGTATGCAAGAACAAGACTGGATGGAATACGAGAGAGAAATCTGAAGCATTTTCCTCAAGAGAGAACCACCTCACTCCTCCCATCCATTCCCTTAATTAATATCCCTTCTGTTTCAAAAGTACCAACTACCTTTTCTCTTGCAGTCTGACTATAGATATCAATTTAAATTCAGACCACCATAGTCTTAACTTACACTTAGCTTTGAAGTCTTCTGTTTCAATATTAGACCCGAAGAAGTGCTTCTGTGTCCAGTATTTATCTACTTTTCCTCAGTTACGCAAATTGGTCCAACAAAAGATATTACCTCTGTCCTCACACTTGCCTATGTCTTTAGCTCATTACAAATATCAAAATGCTGTCACAGGACTAATTCTCACACTTGTTCTTTCCTTGCTGGCATGACGAATATTCAATAATATAATGAGAAAAGGAATAATTTCATCAACAATGTCCAACACAGCCCCTACGCATAATGGCCTACAATTTGGCAATTTTTTTTTCCCTTGGGGAGTGGGAATTGAGATTTAAATCCCTGCAGGCAAAAGGAACTGAGTTTCAAAAAACCTCAGAGTGTACAACTACTCAGATTTCAGGAAAAGGGAGAACAGCATTCTCACTCCCTCTTTTCCTCTGTGCTAGGAGAAAGGATGGGTGCCTAATTCTTGGAAAAGGCTCAGGTTGGAAACTCTTCTGAGGAGACTTAAACTCCCTATTTCCAATTTACTGGCTTAGGAGGCTTCTCAGCTCAGCAAGTTGAATTACAGGCATCTCTCCTTGGGCATCTAACCCTTCCCCATAGTGGCTATTTATTTATCATTAATGCCAAAAAGGAAAAAATTGAAAAAAATGGAAAAAGAGAACCCTACAAAAGATATTTGCATGGAGAATTAACAATAATTCACTTCACTTCAAACATTCATGTCCAACTTCCTTGATTTTTAATTTCTGGATACAAGTAATATAAATAAGGTTTTAATAACTGGTCATTGTATTACTTAAAAAAAAAAGGTAATCTATTTCTATAGTCTGTTGTGATATAAAATAAAATTTTCACTGAACTCCTCTGTAGAATTTCTTTACACTAACCAAATCTTCTTGTCTGCCACACAAAGTTATTGATTGATGCAATCAGAATTTCAGACTCTCCAGCTTCAGAAAGTACAAACTTTATTTTGGAGCAATTATTCTGTAGCTTGTCTGTCATCAAGTGTTAGTTCCATATCAATCTAGCTAGAGGGCATCCACCATGTATTTATTGAACTCTGTAACATACTGGTAAAAGCCAAATCTTTTCCTTTTGTTACTACATAAAATACTATTCTCTACAAAGCTATATTCAGGAGATAACAGAACTAAAAAACATGGTTCCCATAGCCTGAAGTATGTTTACAGGCAAATGCTTTACTGAGATAAGCACTCATCCCACGGGTGAAACTTCCTCCATAAAGCCAGATAAAAACAGGTGCCAAGACAGCATATTCTGACCTGAGGGGAAAAAAATTATTTTGCACAACGGAGCTGCACAACTATAAGTTGCTTATAAGATCTACTATAAATCAACCCATCATAAGTGTCTCAGTTGAAGAGCCACACCTACAAACCATGGGTAACTTTAAGTAAATACAAATCATACCTGTATTTTCTTACAACATCTGGGGAGGAATGCTGGATGAATTCTTATTTTCCACACTTGGATGAAACAATCCATATATATTTTGCAAGAAATTTTCTAGTGGTGGGGGGGAGGGGTGGGAGAGAGAGAAAAAAGAAAACACATGCACATAAATATAAGAAATACTAAAAATTGCATCATTATTCACCAAACTGATCTTTAACAAGGTTTTACAGCCACAGCAAAAAAGGATACCCTGTGACAACCCTATACGAAATATTAATTCTCTACAGAACAATGGGTTGGTTGAAAAATGCACATATGTGAAAAAGAAGGACAAAATAGTTCTAGACATAGTATGATGTATTAGTAACTCTTGAAGCTGAAATTTCCTCATCTATCAGAAAGGAACAGTCATTCAGCTTGCTACCTTTCTCCTTTTGTGCTTTCCACAAAGAAGGAAAAAGAAATTTTATCTCACATTTTAACAAACCTTCTATTATCCAAGCTTTTCAAGGAGTATGATGAGCAATTATTTTTTTCTTTGCAATTAATTTCAAGGCAACCCAGATCAAAGTTGGGTTCACTGACAAAAAATAAGGTTTTACAATAGCTCCAAACTTTAGAATATGTTTATTTTTAAGTCATGTCCAGCAGAAAAAAACCATGCATCTCAAACCTTGTTTTCTCTGGCTGCCTGAGATGTTGTTTTTCTCCCCTCTGTTTGTGTTCACCCGAGGCAATGGCAGATCATGCTGACTGCAGCTGCCTCATCTGTGCCACCAGTCTTTTTGGGACATCTACCATGTATCAGAAAGAAAAGCTGGAATAGAAAATACATAGTTCCGGGTACATCTTGCTAACCTGCAGTTCAAGACTGTGGTCATGAACAGGTGAAGGGAGGAGCCACAGAGGTCAGTGTGGCAAGATTTCTTACTGAGCTTTTCCTCCCAATGACCATCAGTCACCTCCTGTTGACAGACCTCTCACTGACCAACCATTAAAAGAACTGGATACTACCTAAATCGTTCAGAGGATTTAAAACCTGTTAAAACCCTTTCTGGTAATATTTGCGTAGCACTTATTAATCAAAAGTACATAGAGGGGTGAAATCAGACCTATTTTTCAACTGGTATTTTAGAGGGTTTTTTTGCAAAGGAGACACCATTGCTTACCACTTGTGGTCCAAATCCTAAACCGATTTATGCTAAAAAAATCAATGATTTTCCACACAGACAAAACAAAATACACTCTCCTCCAAAATTATAATAATATTCCAATAAAAATGCAGTATTTTTCAGCTTTTGCTGAACAAAGCTAGTGAGCTTCCAGTCTGTACCATGGCAAAAAAAGGTGGTGATCTGAACATGAGTCCCAAGAAAAGGTTCTTTTGCATGTTTATTTTTCACTTAAATATAATTTGTGACACAGAAAGCTTCCAAACAGTAAGTACTCATCTGGGGCTGACAGCATCATTATGTTCTTTGACACATATTAAATGATGGCAACAGTGGAAATCATATTTATTGACCCTGCATCTCTCAGCAGTTCCATTCACTTCCTTGAACTTTTTTGTCTACAACTCACAAATATCTGCCTCCCCTTTTTAATGGTTCCTTGAGAATGACACTGAAAACATATTTAAGCAACTGAAAGTGCTCCAAACAGTGAGTGTATGAAGTAACTATGTTAAAGCATAAGGAAAGCTTATTTCTGCTTATTGAACCTTCAAATCCCCTCAATTATTTGTCATTGGAAGTCTTATGAATAGATCAGTATTATCAGTAGCTTCCACAAACACCAAATCACCATCAGCATGATCAAATCGCGTAGGATTTATGCTGTTGGTGGTGAAAATAGTACTCCAATAAATAAACCCAGAGACAGAAGATTCAAATGTGAAAGTT